TTAGGAAGGATGAGCGATCTCTCCCTTTCCTTGCAAAGCCCTTTGCTGCGCAGTGACAGTGAGAAGGATGCAAACAGCCCCTGCAAGCATGAGAAAGCTTTTCCCTATGGGAACACAAAGCAGCATCGTGTCCATTCCGCAATCAGGAGGGGCAGAGAAACAGGCCTCTCACCTACAGCTGGGTATGAGGATGCTAAACCCCATCTCCAGGCAGTTCTTGCCTGCTCCTGTCCTTACCATGGAACCAGTGACTCCATCCCAGTGGTGCTGGCACAGCCAGAGGGGTTTGATGGCAAACCAGAGATCTGAGCCTGTGCTGGAGCCAGACAGAGCTTGGGAGGGCTGATTCCTCTTCCCAGCCCCCTACATCTGCACAGGGAGGAGGGAAAGCCCTTTGGGACAAGGAAGAGAAAGCACTGGAACAGGCATACGTAGCTCAGTAATAACACTAATGCAAGCACTTAGCACATAGGCAGGAGTGTGCAGAGCAGAGTGCTTCACAAACATTAATTAGTGCTGGTAGGCAGGTCAGAGATACGGTTCCCATTTTGCCAAAGAGCAGAGAATCATCCATCTGCTTAAATCCTCTTTAATTTAACCTTGGGACATCCATAGGGAAACCCTGAGCCTGTTTCAGCATCAGATGAAACCACCCATGGACCCTTCAGACCCTCTCAGGAGGCAGCACGCACTGAGCAGCTCGGAAGAAGGATGTTATGGAGGGTGTTGGTGGCTTGGATTGTGCCCAAGTGTGGACCTGGGAAACACAGGGCATCTGTTTTCCATGTCAATAAGCACACAGGTGTAGGCAGGGTGCTGGTGCTTGCCCTCAGGACACGTTGTGTTGCTGGAGCCTTTGGGGTTTGTTTGGGCTCCTCTCACCTTTTGCTGCCTCCTGCTTGATTTGGGGCAGGTTTAGGACCTCTCAGGACACCCAGTTCATTAGCAAAGGTGAAAGCAGCTGCCAGGAATGATTGGGGTGAGGCAGCAGGGTTAAAGCTGTAGCCAGGACTCATGGGGAAGTTGGGCCGGTCTTGGTATCACGGGTATAGGACACAGCAGCTGAAGATGCTCTGCAAGCAGGATGAGCCAAAACTGCTTAATTTAAGGTATTCAGTGCTTATTTCTTTAAAGATACCTACTTTGTATTGCACAGCGAGCATCCCTGCAATGCACGCTGCAGTGGGGCTTGGCTAAGGATGGGGTCAGGGGCAGAGGCTCAACAAAGAGGCTGGAAACAAGTTGAGCCCCAGCATGAGCCAGGACCCCAGAAAAGCCCTTTGGGGAACTCAGGTATTGCAGGAGGATGGGTAGCTGAGGGCAGCAGCCAGCTCAGATGGAAGCAAAGCTGCTGTCACACCTTGAGACACAGCACAAGCAGCGTATGGGGCAGGCAGCCATGTGTGGTGTTCCCTGTACTTTTCCCTCTCTCCATGGACCATTTTGCAGCAAGAAAAGAGGTAGATAAAAGCAGAGGGGATCCCTTCTGCAAGGAGACCCACTTCAGCAGCAGAAACTTGTTTGTCTGCTCTCAAGCTGATATTGAGACCTGCAGTCCCTTCCCAAGCACTGCATTTAAATCTCCCTCTGCATATGATCCCATCGGCCCCACAGATGGAGAAGCGTGCTCAGACACAGCACTGCTTAGTTTTCTCAGCTATTAGGATTAGTGGCTTTTTCTGTGAGGTATGGATTTAGAAGCCTGTAATGCTGGAATTGTTCCTCCTCTCGGGGTGGATGGGTGCTAACACAGAGCATGGAGGAAAGGGGCAAGTCGGCCTTACAGTGGATTTCATTTCTTCTCCAGACAAAAGAGCTCCTGAATCACTCTGAGCACACCTAAATCCCTTGCTGAGCTCAGCTGGACTTGCCTTTACATTGCAATTACACAGATGCTTAAATGCCTGGCTAAATCACAGCTTCCCAATCGCTCACCATCTCCAGCGCCTTTCCGAGTTATCCCCCAACCCAGGCACTTTTTGGGTCCAGAAAGGTGCAAATGATGCAGGTAATGCTGATTTCAGCAAGATCCACTAAACCGGACCTAAGCTCAGCCTCTCACTCAGTCCTGCTTTATGGATGCCTTCCCCGGGCAGCTCCCGCATCCCATCTCCACACCAGGTTGTCTTGTTAAGTGTCTGGTTCTAATTTCTCTCAATCAGGAGCCGGGCCCGAGCAATTACATTGAAGGACCTATTCATCCAGAGGGAGAGCAGGGATCTAGGTTAATTGGGCTCACAATTGAACCCAATCCTTTCTGGTTTTGCCCAGCTTTCCTGTTCTTGCTCTCTCTTCCTGCACTGTATCTGCAAAGCTCTCTGCCTCGTTAATTAAGAAGGTAACTGCACCCCGAGGGCTGTTTTGTTCTCCCTTCCCTCCTTCAAAAGCAAGCATAGAAAAAGCTAGTTTGGGATGAAGCAACCACCTCCGAGCAGGCTGGAGCTGGCTGGGTCTGACTGGGTCAGAGCGCATTGAGCTGCTGCTGTTCTCATGGGCTTTGGGGGAACAATGCGTGGTGAAAGCAGGTGCTGGATCAGAAACACTCCTCCAGGCACGCTTGATGCGTTCTATAGACAAAGCTGGGGAGCATGGAAAACATCAGGGTCTCTAGGGCTGCATGGGTGCTGGGTTATTGCTGGGGTTTCAGTGCTGGAAATGGAGGGGGGAGATGCAGGTTTATGGCTTCTTGGAACCGCATCCCTAAAGATTTGAGTGCTTCTGAAATGGTTTTAGCCCACAAGAACGGTTGTAAATGCACAGGGGTTTGACGAGAAGGGGATGCTGGAGTTCAGCATCATGCCCCAAGGCCATGCCAGGCGAAGCAGCAATGAAGAAATGGGTGTCTGCACATGGAGTGGCCTGAGATGGGCGTCCTCCCCTATGATGGGTATTTATGGACATCGGTGTCATCCCCTGCGATGGGTATTTATGGAGCTGGATGGCATCCCTGGAGCCCTTGCACCCATAGCCCAGTGTCTGTATGAGATCATGATCAGACCCTTCCCCTGCTTGCATCCCAGCTCCAGGACCATGAACTGGGAACCTCCAGGAAAGAGCCACGGATGGGAACAGTAGGCGAGGTGGCCTCGTGCTCAGGGCTTCGGGTCCCAGTGGTACCCGCAACTGCAGCATCAGCAGCCAGGTTTTGGCAGCTTTAAGCCATGAGCCTGGCCCTGGGGATGCAGGGAGGAGGAGGTGGCCGTTGCTCATGTCTAAATACACCGTGTTCCATAAGTGTTTGCTATAACACGGGTGCAAACAAACACTTTGCAGGATGTTTGCCAGGAGAATGGGCTTCGTGTGTGGAGCCTTGAAGGACACATGAGGAAAGCTGATGCAGCCTATGGCTGCGGGCTCTCATCTGGCCTCCCCAGCACTGCTGGGCCAAGGGAAGCTTTATTGCCCTCTGGGGAGTGCATTACTTAAGTCCTTGTGTACAAATTGAGCAGCATTAATCCTGCCAGGAGGAAATGACATCGTGGTGCTGGGGGAGAAGGAGAGGGCAAGAAGACACCAACAATTGCCCTGGTTCTGCCTTCCATTGGTACACAAGGCTCTGTCGTGTCCCCCCCCCCCAAACAGGCTCTGGCTTCAGGGTAAGCAGGAGCAAGAAGCCAAGGAACAGCCCTGATCCTTGTGGGATTTGGGGCTTGCAGGGATAGGAATGAACAATTTCAGCCCTGGGAGAGTTATGGGGACACGGGGGTAAAGCAGGGACCAGGAGGCATGGAGGAGACTGGGGGATGCTCTGAGCTGTTGGGGCATCTTCTATATGGACCCTGTAAACCCCTCATTCCTCTTCTAACCCACAGGCTTTCATGCTTATGCCCATCTCATTCTCTGCCCCATCCTGCTGTGGGGGGAAGCAAGTTGCTGGGAGGGGGCTCTGAAACTGCATTCCCAGTACCCCATAGAGCTCCATTTGCCCCGGGTGAACTGCCCCCCCCCCCGGTTTCAGTGCCCAGCGGGAGGGATGCTGAGGGCATTGGGAACCTGGACTGGGATAACGCGGAGCGCTGAGGGCTGGAGGAAGGTGGCTTTTTACAGGCAGAGGAGCCAAATCCTGCTCTGCGGTCCCTTTGGAGGCAGCGCGCTCCTACACGCGATCGCACAGTCCCCTCTAGTGGATGTTTCACCAGCATCACACGGTTCTCCTGCTCTCCATGCATAGGCAGCGCTGCGCTCCAGACCCTGATCCCAAGCAGTGATCCCAGGGCATCATCCTGCTCCTGTCCTGTAGCTGGGCATGGCGGAAGCAAAGCTGGATCCGGTCACCACCATGGGCTGAGCCGTCTCTGCTGCTGCTCCATCTCCAGCTGGGTGTGGGGGTGACTCTACCTCCTGCTGTCCCTGTCCCAGCTCCATCCCACACCAGTCGCTACCCCTGCATCAGGGCTGGACCCTGCAGCTCTGACTCTCCCCCTTATCCAGGCTTTAAACTGGCTTGGAGCTATTTGGGCATCAACCAACGTGATAAAGAGCTAACGAATACCCACATGGCGACAGCTTCTGAGGGATCCAGGCACGAGCATCATTGCTCCCACCCTGATGGGTCCTGCAGGCTTGGACCGAGGTGAAATGGGCTGCTCTTGGGGTGAATTCCCTAAGGATTGGTTGCTCACACCCCCAGCCCACTCCTGGGATGTGAAGGATCCCACCACCACCAGCCTGCAGTGGTCCTCTGTGTAGAGGGCCAGGGCCAGGTCACCACCACCTCCTTCCCACTCCTCTCCATCTCCACCTGCCTTGGAAACTGTGCTGGTCACCTGGAAGGTATGCGATACCCTGAGGCTTTGCAAGGGAGAATAAGAAGGCAGTGGGTGCAGCTGCAGACCCACAGGTTAGCGTGCATCAGTGGGTTGTGATGCTCCATCGGAGGGATGCGATCCCTCCACCTCGTTCCATCTTACACTGGAAACACGGCCCTGGTCCCAGTGCCATCACCTGGCAGCCCTGGGGGGAGAGCCAGCCCCTTTTATAGCTTCTGGCACAACACAAGACACACTTTACAGCTTTATTTGTTATAAAACATCTTTAGGAAGCTGAGCGCTACCTAAACCCACCCCTTGGGCTTGGTTCTGCCAACAGGGACTCTGTCTAACGGCGTAACAGCACAGCAGGGCTGGCTCCAGGCTTTTTGGACCCCCATCCCCATGCAGAAGGCAGAGAAACTGCAAACCCCAAACTGCATTTCTAGGGAGCTGGATGCTGATGACCCCCAGTGTTTATTGCAGTGCTCCTCATCCTCCTCAGCTTTATAGATGTGCCTTTAAAACCAAAAGCTCTGTGCATCTTGGCTGGCCACAGAAGGGCTTGGATGGTGAAAGGGCTGATCCGTTGGGCAATGGGAAGCCACCTCCTGGTCCTGAACTTGGCAGCAGTGAACAGACCAGCTTCCTGCTTGGGATTTCTGTGCATCCAGTCGGAGCATCAGGGATGAGAAACCCCAGCCCTGCTTCTGAGTGTATTTAGTGTGAATGCGTGTGGTCTCTCCAGCATCACATGTGCTACCAAGGGGAAGACAATGGCTGGCCCTAGAGACCCACATCCCTTGGGTCTGCCCCAGCCATGGGGGAAAATGGTTGCTTTGGGGCATCACATTGCAAACACCCCCTGAACCAGACCCATCACCGGGAGAAGCACGCAGTGGTTTAAACAGGAAAGAAAGAACATCCTTATGGGACATAACCCACCACCGTGGGCCAACCGTGCTGTCTTCACCCTCCTGCCCCATCCCAAGATATGGGGCAGCAGAAAGTCCCAGGATGATGCAGGCTGCATCCCTGGCCCTGCAGCAGCCAGGGAAGGCACAGGTTCAACAGCCCCAACTCCAGTAGCCCCTCAGGATGTGATGGGTTGGCTGCTGCTGCTGAAGCAGTTATTTGTTGGCTATGTAGCTTTAAGCTTACATAGGTTTGAGCTGATGGGGGCTATAGGAGAGAGGAGAGGCAAGCTGAAGGGATGAGCAAGCAGCACGGGGTGGCAAACCCCAGCCAAGCCCTGGCTACCACCCCTGCCCATGGGGCTGTGTCCCAGTGGGGCATTCCACTCCTGCAGCCAGCAAGTCCTTGGACCAAGGAGAGCAGGAGCACACGGTGGGATCCCACATGGCCATGGGATCCTGGGCTCTGCAGTGATGTACATGAGCCATGATGCAGCCAGTGCGTCCCCGGGGCAATGCATGAGGCACCGGTTCCCACTTGGGAAAGCCAGGCTGTTCCCTGCCCTATAGCAGTGCCATGGAACACTTGGCTCTCCTCAGTAACTGGGATGTCTCTTCTGGGACCAGGCGGCTGCTTTCTGGTGGTGCTGGTCCCAGCTCAGTCACTGCAGTTTGAAGCTGGATTGGTGCAGAGTCAGGGAGGCAGGAAAGAGCCAGGCAGGGGAGGAAGAAGCTGTGGGCACTGCCATGCAAAAAGCATCCTTCTTGGAGCTGCTCCTTCATCCAAACGGTCCCTTTGTGGTACCCAGCTGCAGCTCCCCTGGCTGTGTGCCTGGCACACACACTGCACATGCTGCAGCCTCATAGGCATCTCTAATGGGCTCCCCAGCCTTTAGCAGCAGTGTCCCCCAACTTCTACCCTTATGGTAGGTAAAGACTGGTAACAGCATCCATGGATGTGGCCATGACAGTCCTCCACCAATGCAACCCTCAACCTGCCCTTTGGACACTTGTGGTGCCTCTGCTTTACCCACTTCCCCGTGATGCTGTAGCTTCTCCACCAGCCCTGTTTCATCCAGCAGCATCTTCCCAGTGGCCCTGCACTGAAGGCTTTAGGATGCTCAGTGGCATTAACATCCCACTTGCTGACCATGCCGGGGCGCAGCACCCAGGACTTTCTGCATGGAAGCAGTGCGCTTGGTGCATGCACATCCAGAGCTTTCCCGGTGTCAAAACACTGGCAGGAGGAGGAAGATGGGGTGATGTGAGCATGCAGCCGGCGTGTGCAGACCTTCCTGGCCTTGAAATCCATGGAGCTACCATTGGATCAATGCCTGTTAGGGTGAGCCATGAGCTGCCCAGCTCCCAGGAAGGGCTGGTGCTGGCACTGCTGCTGCCTGCTCGCTGTCCCAGAGATTCCCTGGATGAGCAGCCCACGAGCAATGAGCAGCTGGGAGAAGAGTCCTTCTCTTCATCCCAAATCAGCTCTAAAGCTGTGGCACTCCTCAGGGATGAGGGCAAGCAGGGATCCCTCCCATCAACTGGAAGATGCCTCCGGATTCTCTTTCCATGGCCAGATCCACGGAGGAGTGGTGTTGTCCCCATATCACACTGCAGGGTCTCTTCCTGCAGGGAAGCACAAAGCCGTCCTGTTGCTTCAACTGAGCTGGTGCAGGGAGCCTGGGCAGCATCTGCCTGCTCCCCCTGCCCTTCCAGCCACCTGCATCCCAAAATCCAAGTATGAAGCCCTCTGAGGACAGAACAAACCACCCGTGTGATCCCTGACTGTAACGCAGAGAGGAGGATGGAGAGCTGGTCTGTGCCACACAGACACGCTGAGGGTGACCTTGTCCATCAGAAACACCAGGATGGCCTCGCAGAGGGTGCAGATGCAGCACATGGACCCCAAGAACCAGTGGGATACGCTCCCATTGGGTCCAAGGTGCAATCCTGCTGCTGCACCGCAGCTGGGCTTGGGGGCTGCTATGCGGGTCCGGGTGGCCATGGTGCTTCAGCTCGCCCTCCTCTTCCTCTCCGCAGCAGGGACAGTGTCTGTGTGTCCATGGTTTCACCCTGTAGCAGGAGTGGCTGCGGGATGCTGGTGTTTAGGTGGCCTGGCCGGGCGGCAGGCGTTTGCTATCCAGAATGGCTTTCCAGTCATCGGTCCAGGACTGCAGCCTGCGGCTGGGGGGCTTCAGCTGCAGGTGCTTGTTGTGGCAGGCTGTGAAGAGTACGTGCTCCCAGCTCGGGTTCAGCTCGGCCCCTGCAAAGCAAGGAGAGAGGTTGGCTCTCTGCACAACTCCCCTGTGAGACACAAAGGGTGACCTTACTCCGACACAAGGAGCCTGCGGACACCAGAGCCTCATCAAGCAGGGAGGGACCAGCACCCATCACACCCCCGGATGCTCTCCGCCCCTTGGGGCTGCCTCTGGTCACTCCTAGCACCCTGTACCTCCCTTACCTGTTATATCAGGTCTGTCGTCTATCAGCAGGTCAGCAGAAACCACTGTCTTGTCTCGTGTCAAAACGATCTGCTCCAGAAACTCGGGGCCGAAGTGCTTCTCCACCCAGGCGTACTGGAAGGGGAGAGAACGGGGAGCTCAAGGAAGGCTGATGGACAGGGCTGCTGGGTGGAGCAGCAATCGAGCACAGCACAAGCCCTGTGCCCCACACAGGGAGGACATCTCTCTCATCACGAGTGGGAAGGATTCGGATGCTGCTGGAGCACAAGTTCTCTTAAAAGCCAAGCAGCTTTTGATGTTGTGATGAGCTACGGAGACCAAGCACCTCCGTGCATGCAAATGGTGGAGGTTGGCCAAGAGTGGGGCTTTTTGAAGATGCTTAAGAACAAATGGGGTGGAGCAGGGAAATATTGCTGCTGGTTTACAGCTGGAAGCATGCAGGGGTCAGCTGGCTTTCACTGGGCAGCACTGTATGGAAGAGGGGTTGGGATTCGGACCTGCTCACCTTCTCATACGGGCAGTAGCGATACTTCTTGATGGGGCTCGTGCAGATGAACACATCAGTGCTGCCAGGAGGAGGAAAACAGGGGCAGAGTGTTATTGGTAGCCACTGCTTCATCCCCATCCATCCCAAACACCACGGGCAGGTTCCTACTCACTCGGCCAAGTTTGCCATTTGCTTCACAGCTTCCACAGCCCCGGGGAGTGGGTCCAGCTCGATGAAGAAGTTCTTGGATTCCCAGATGCTGATGGCTTTCTCCTATGTAGGAAAAGAGAGCAGTTACTGCACAGGGCTTCTCGCTTACTCTTGCACATGCATCTTCCTCACCCTTCGCTAGGACAGAGGATGGTGACAGTGGGAAAGGTGGGAGCGCTGGCTCCAGTCCCCTCCTGCTAACCCGCCTTGCCTCTGTGGGTGCCTCTGTTCCCCACCAGCCAGCCTGCACCCACTCCATACCATTGAGACTGGAGATCCTCTGGAGCAGCTTGGTTTTGCCTCTGCAGCCCCAAACACAGAGGGAGCAGCATGTTCCTTCTTATCAGAACACAAGAGATTGTCCAGAACCAAATCGAACCCTGGATATGCATCCAGAGGGGCGCTTCCATGTGGATCCGGCTGATGGTAGCCCTGGTAGCCCTGCTGTAATGTGGCGCTGTGCAGCCACAGATGCTGCCTGGCCTATTTGTTTCAATCAGATCACTTAAAATAGCAGCTGGGCTGCTCTCATAAGAGAACACATATTATAGGATGAACTGCATGTCAGGAGGAATGCAGATGCTCATCCTCAGGGATGTCTGGGCAAGGTCTGTCAGGCAAATAGAGCACCTCCAGGCAGGGGTTTGAGGCACTTCACAACCAGGTCAGCAGCCAGGCTGCACATGGCACAGAGCAGAAACTACAGGGAGCAAAACCTTGGGACCAGGGGCTGCATGTGATGGGATCCAGCTCTACGGAACAGCATCCATCCCCTGCACTCCCTCAAGCACAGACACTGGGTCCTCAGGGAGGAGAGAGCCTGGTTGTGCTGCAGTATGGCTGTGGGGAGCAGAAGCAGCCCTGTCCTGGTGTTGCAATGCAGCCAAGTAGCTGTAAATGCAGCTCGGAGAAGGTTTGAAGGGAGCTGTGCCCTGAAGGACTGATCTTCATTTTAAGCAGCTCTGCTTCTGTATTTGAGGTAGGAAAACAGGGACAAAAGGAAGTGTAAGCCTATCCCAGCCTTCTTGTATTGCAAAGGGATGGAGGAGCCAGCAGAGCATCAGAGTAGGAGCAGCCTCAGTGATGCTCGCTCTTAATGCTCAGAGGAACAAATAGGCTGGTTGGACACGTCAGCAGCTCCCTCCTGCCTGCTAAGTGGGAACCTAGTGGGTAACCACCACGTTATGCCTTTAATGCATTACTTGGGGAAGAAACTTAAAAGAAGAGGCTACCCACATCAGCTCTTGCTGTCTTCCCCTTTGCCTGAGCAGCAGCAAACCTCAGTGGTTCAGAGGAAGGAAGAAAAGCTTCTTCATTCATGTTAAATATGTATGAGAGACATACATATATATGTACGTATGCACTCCGATTCGGTGCAAGGGAGCCAGGCAAACACCCCCTGCTCTGCTTTAGGCCGGTGAGCAATGCTGCTTTACTTCACCATACTGACTGCAGCTGCACAAGAGACGTCTGGGAAGCGAGGCCCGATGCAGCAGAGCACTTCAAACTGCCCTGAAGTGTTTTCCTACGGCAAGGACTTCCGCAGCTCTTTGGCTTCCACTCACTCATGTCAAAAAGCATTTTGCAATCAAGTTTGATGGGGGAAGAGCTAAGGAAAGACCTGCTTGGCTCCCAGCGCCGGAATAATTCCCTGTGGCACCACAGGCAGCAGCAGATGGAAAAATCCCCAGGTTGGGAATCCCACCACGTGCCAGGCAGGGCAGACCCTCAATTTCCTATGTCTCCCCATGAGCCATTTTCCTACCCATCCAAGGCTCCCCCATCCTTTTAGGTCTGTATGCTCAATGTATTGCTGAGCTGTTCTCCTTCTCAGAGCTGGGACCTCCAGCTCATTGGTCTCTTTAGCTTCTATTTTCCAGTCTCCTACAGGAGGTCAATGGTGCTGTCTGATGTCTGCAATGGTCCGTGGCCCTGCAGCCACAGAGCAGCTCCTACTCTCTTTATCCCTGGTCTGAAATCATGGATGAAATCAGAGCTGCCCTGATGTCAGTCTGGGGAGGTTTTGCTACTTGTTCAGCGCGAGGTTTTAATGGCTTTACATGATCACAGCAGACACAAAAAGAGCTCACTTCATTTAACACATCCAAAGTAGTTAAGATCAAGCAGAAACAAAAGGGTTATCACGCTCCTGTCATACTTTTAGCATCTGCTTTCCCGCATGAATGATGTCCTCCATTCCCCTCTCATCAGCTAGAGAGGACACGTTATTCCTTCAGCTCATCAAGCTGTTCAGGTCTTTGCCAGTGGCAGAGCCTTGGACCTTATTCACCCTCCTCCTTTCCTTGCAGCCATCACACCTCTAATGATGAGTAGTTTTATTTGCCCCAACACCATTCAACTACAACTGCAATCTGCAGATGAGACCAGAGACATCCCATTGAGATGGGCAACTGGTAGAGGCAGAAACCACCTTTGTGCAGCGCTCAGCCCTTTGCTGAATGATAAAGCACAGCGTAACAACAGCTTCTGCTTTTAGGCTTTAATGATTAAAGGCAGCACAATAATTCTGAAGCTTGGGAAGGCTTGGGATTGATTTAATATAAAGGAAGCCCTCACATGAAGCATCAGTTGCGTGGTTTGCTCTCAACTTCTCTGTGTCCCACTCCTCACATGGCTCTTGAGGAACTAAATAATCCACCCAGGAACATTATCAATCCATGCAGCTTGGCCATGTCAGAGCTAGAAAACCCCAGCTATGCAATTAAACCAGCTCTCCTCTCTCCTTGCATCCATCTCCATCCATGCATGCAGGGAAACAGATGTGCATGGAAAACACCGGATTTCCAGGAGCAAAGCGCCTCTGGAAGCCCTCCTGCATGCAGCCCTGCGTTTCAATGGGAGCTCCATCCAGCACCAACAGCGCTGCACCTCGGACATGGAGGAGTTAATGGGTGGGTGGGTGGGTGGGGGGGGGTCCCACAGGGGCCAGAGCTCCAACCACACAGCACAGAGCAAACCAAGAGCCACGCGCAGAGCCGGGGATGATGCATAGACTCACACTCAGCTCAGGTCCCAGGCGCCCGTATTGCTCCGACACCCAGAAGCCCCTCCGGTCCTCCAGGGCAATGTAGGGCTTGTCGGGATACCTGGCTCTGAACTTCTTGAGGAAGCCTCCTTCGAAGTCAGCCAGCACCCCATCCATGTCCACCAGCACCCGCAGCGCCCTGCGGGACCCCGCTAAGGGGCCGGGACCCCTGCCCAGCCCTGCGAAGGGGCCGCAGTGCCGAGGCCGGAGGTGCAAGAAGCTGCTCAGCAAGATCATGATGGAAAGGGGGCTTAAGCAGGGGATTAGGGGGGGTCTGCGGGCAAGGGGAGGTGGGTGGGGGGGGCTTTATTTCAAGCACGGCCCCTTGCAGCAGAAGGGAGGAGCGGGAGGGTGCAAGGGGGATGCAACAGGGAGCAGAGGGGCTGCAAGGGGGGGATGCAAAGACCGGCGCTCGCCTCCTCCCCGCCCCATCCCTCCCTTTTGCAGCGCAGCAAAGCGGCAGCGGGACCCCGGTGTTCGGCGGTGCGTTCACCCCGACCCGGCAGTGCAAAGCCCAGTTCCTCTTCCCGGTGCCCGACCGAGCCCGGAGCGGCGGCACCGCCTTCAAGCGGCACAAACGCGGTGCGACGGCGCCGATCCCATCCGCCCGCCCCTTCCCCGCAGCGGGGGCTCCACTGAGCCCCTGCCTCAGTTTACCCGAGTCCCAGCTTGGGGGGGTACCCACAATGACCCCTCCAACCCCCGTCCCTGCGAGCGGCTGCTGGGGTGCACATAACGCAGGGATTTTTGCAGCTGATTTGACCTGAAACACACCGATTTCAACCAATTCGTGCTCTGCTCAGGATCTAGCTCGGTGTGACACAGATCCGTCCCCACGGGTGACAGTGGGAACCTTTAAAAGACAAAACTAGCCCCAAAAGGAGCGCTGGGGGCACATCACACTCCGGGCATTCTGATACAGGACCATGGATGGCTGCAGTCACAAAACACTGCAGGGATTTGAGCTGCTAAAGGAGGGGGAAGCCTCTGAGTGTGACTAACGGGATTAGGCAGCCGCTGAGCTGGGGAAGATCTCGACTGGTGGCAATAATACAGCTTTAGCAGCTCCAAAGTATTCCATCTTTTAATTCCAGAGTGTGTTCCAATAGAAGGCATCGTCCTTGCTTCACAGAAAGGGCAAATGAGAGATCAGGTGGTTTGGGAAAGGTCATGGCGTGAAGGAGAACTGGCAGCCGGGCTGTACGCGGTGGTGAATGTTGACAGGGAAGGAAAACGTGAAGTTTTAAGGCCGAGTTCTGCTTTCTCTTGTGCCAGAGGCATTTGTGTATGGTGAGGAACAGGATTTCAACACAGTTTGATGTGTCTGAGGAAGCAGTGAGAGAACACGCACGCATCCCACAGTGAGACCTTCTTCCTTGTGGTGCGGTGAAGGGTACTTCCCTGCCCACCAGCTCCTGCAGCAATGGAGCACACACAGAGAATCCCAACCTGGTTTGGGTTGGAAGGGAACTTAAAGCTCATCCAGCTCCAAGCAGGGACCCCTTCCACTAGAGCAGCTTGCTCCAAGCCCCTGTGTCCAACCTGGCCTTGAACACTGCCAGGGATGGGGCAGCCACAGCTTCTCTGGGCACCCTGTGCCAGCGCCTCAGCACCCTCACAGGGAAGAACTTCCTTTTATCCAACCTCAATCTCCCTGTTTCAGTTCGAACCCATCACCTCTCGTCCCGTCCCCGCAGTCCCTGATGCAGAGCCCCTCTCCAGCATCCCTATTCAGACAGTGGCAGGCTGAAGGAGGTCTCCATTCCCTCCTCCAGGCTGAACAGCCCCATTTCTCATCATAGGGATGGTATTATTATCCCATATTGTCCCATATTGTCCCATAGGGGCGAAAAGTCGCCACGCTCAGCCTCCGGTCACCCCGCCAAGGGGACAACGTGCACAAGCCCCGCGCCGCGGAGGGGGGTGACGCCGCCGTGACGTCATCACGCAGCCCCGCTGAGTCACGGCTTCCCGCTCCTCCCTCCCTCGCTCTTAACGCGGGCTTCGAAGAGGGGGGGCGGAAGGGCGGTGGTTGCCATGGCAACCTCTGTTCCCGCGAGAGGTGGCGAAGCGGCGGAAATGACGCAGCGGCGGCGGGCGTGGCGCGGCTCCGCGCCGCGGCCGCTGATTGGCTGGCGGGTAGGTCGGCGGCGGCGGCGGCGGGGCCCGTAAGCGGTGCCTCCTTCCCCGTGCGCGCTCCCGCCACCCCCGCGCGCGGCCGCGCCGCCAGCCGCCAAGATGGCGTCGGCCCTGGAGCAGTTCGTCAACAGCGTCCGGCAGCTCTCGGCCCAAGGTGACCGCGGGGCGGGCGCACAGCGGGGCTTGGAGGCCGCGGGAGCCGAGGGGGGCGGGCCGCGGCCTTCCCCCGTGTTCTCCTCGCTCCGCTCCCTCACGGCTCTCCCTCAGCCTCCTGTCCTGTGGGGCCTTCACCGGGCTGTGGCCTCCGGGGGGGTCCCGGTGGGGTTTGACAGGGTCCGGCTGGCAGCGGTGGCCATGAGGGAGAGGTCCCGGCGGAGTGCGGTGAAGCCGGCAGTGATTCCGAGCCTTCGGGCACCGCAGGGGCTTTAACCGGGGTTCGGCAGCCCGGCCTGTCACCTCGGTGCTGAGCGGTGGGCTTTAAAATGCACTGCACGAGCGGTATTCCATGGGGATAAAGTGGGGCATGAACAGAACCGCATGGGAGGAAGGCTGAGACTCCACCTCAGAGGTACCATAATCCAAGCGCTTAGAAAATGTTTTAATAACCACAGTAAGAATCCTTTCGGTTCTTTGCCAAACTCCTGCGGTTCCTGGTTCTTGAACTTCCCGTGTTGATGCTTCCTAGACTGTGTGCTGAGGGGTTGCTCCGCGTGGGATGGTTGCTCCGTGGAACTGATCACGAGTTGATGCTTTCCTTTGTGTCTCCAGGCTTTATCTCTGCATGGAGCTCCAACTTGCTCTTACATTGCTTTAATTTGTTACATATAGAGTGTTTTTACTGGGGGGTATCACATGCAAGAGATAAATTATACCTAAAAAGTGTGGGTACAAAGGTGATTCTTTGCTTAACTGGGGAACTAACTACAAGGCTTTCTGGATGCACAAGTGGTTCTGGTTGTCTAAGTGGAAGTTCTTCCATTAGGGATAAGCCAGATAGTCATTCCTTTGAAGAAGCAAATCCAGGGAGGCTGCTGGAGACTGGGAGAGCCGATGGGAGAAGTCTGTGTGCTCGCGGTAGTGGTGTTCGGTTCTGGTTCTCAGCATTGGGAAGTGCATGGGAAGTGACATAAATGGATTGGTTGGGCCTGGTGTGGGTAACGTCTGCGTACACCGCAAGTTGTTCAGTGATGCTGGTGGGTAGAGGGTTGCTCAGGAGGGGTTTTGGCTTTGGTTTATAGGGGAGTGCCAGGTGATAGCTGTCATATGGAAGGATTTCTTATTAGGGAGCTCACCAGAACTAAGGTTTTCAACCTGTTATCAAGCTACAGAGCATTTTACAAGCCCTATCTCTTTCCATGCTTATGGCAGGAATTTGAATTCCATATGGAGAGAGCGGTTTGGGGGTGAGGGCTCTTGTCCCCTCTTTGGAATTTCTGATCCTTCTATTGCTTCAAATTCAACATTTCATTGCTAGGGTTTCCCTTTTTCAAAGGAAAAGGCCAAGAGAGTTGAGGATAATGCATCTCTATGAATGGAGGCACTATTCCTCTTTTTATGAAGATTTTTGTAGGGGTGAGAGGAAACTCTGCTTTTTCTCTCTAATCTGCAAGGATTGAACGTTCAAACAATCCTCTGCTTCAGCAAAGGTTAGTTTAATTCAGGTGATGGTGGGGAAAGAGTTTGAAAGCAATTTGTGACAATCGATCTGCTTTCTTTGTAAGGTTTCTGGGCTTACTGTACCTTCCTAATTCAGAGTAGTTGCCTTTCATGCTGTGTTCATGGCTCACAACAAATAGAACGCCACTGCAGTTTTAATTACACAAACCAGATTTAAGAACAGATCTTTAAAGCCTTTTCTTGTAGGTGCTTAGTTGTAATGTTAATGTCAGCTTCAAAGAACCATGTTTATGAGCAGAGCTGGAAAGTGGTAAATAGGGCACTGGAGAAGCAGCAAGGAACAAGCTGTGGTATTGGGATTTTCTAGAGAGTGGAGGAGACTGGTTTTGGTCTTGTTTTGTTCTGTTTTTTTCCCTTTACAACGCCCAAAAAGTACAAGTGAAGATAAATTTATCCACCAGGCAAAATGTTGCATGGCAGTACACTGGTTAGAGTTTGGTAGACTTGGCTTAGGTGGAGCTTGGTGGTGATACCAGACCGTGCAGCCCATCTCTGAGGTGAGCTGATGCTGCTTTTCCTGCTGGGTTTATGTTCTAAGGGCTTCCTTTGCAATCCCAAAGGCCAGAAGCTTCACTGCCACATATGGTGGGTACCTCACTGTTGAAAGCTGATGCCCATTGTATGAAAGAAAAGTAAATTCTCTGGGTGATGCTGCTTTTCCCTCAGGTTATACAGGGCAGGAAGAGTGTCATGAAGTATGGGAATGTGTGAGTGTTCTCTAATTAGAGTCTGACAACATGTTTTGTGTTTCAGGGCAAATGACCCAGCTTTGTGAGCTGATCAATAAGAGTGGAGAGCTGCTGGCAAAAAACCTTTCCCATCTGGATACAGTCCTTGGTGCCCTGGATGTGCAGGAGCACTCATTAGGTGTTCTGGCTGTCTTGTAAGTGGTGCTTCCTTTCAGTTAAATAGCTTAGTATGTTGCCTGGAGTTTTAATACTGAGTTGTCTCCCAGCTGTTTTTCTTTTGCATGTTTTCAGTCTGTGTTTGTTAGAATGGTGCTTAGTGATGCACATTTAGGAATAAAAACACCAACTCAAACTTACGTTTTCCAAAGGAAACCTCTGGAGGTTGTAAATGCCATTACTGTTAAGTGTTAATATTAGGGGTTGTTTTCCTTATGGCTGCATCTATAAGTGTTTTTCCATATGTGTGCAGCAAAAAGGTATAAAACTGACTTTTAAGACTGTAAGTGTGAAATAACACTTTTCTTTCCATGGGTTCTTCTGACAGTTCTTGGCTGTTTGCCTCTGGACAGCAGTGAAGCTCTTGCTGTTGTCTGTAGTTTAAGATAATACTTGAATTGGTGATGCTGAGATAAAGGTATTTGGCCTTGAAGCTCCAGCTTTTGTTTCTAGCTGTACCCAACTATAAGTGGAGCATCTACAGGTTTCACTATTGCTTAACAGTTCCCTTTTTAAAGGAAAGATCAGAATCCTGGTACTCATTCTACCACCCTTTTGAAACAAAATTACTGGAATACATGGAGAAAATGCTGTTTAGTATTACAATTTAGCATCTCATAAAAATGCATTATGGACTTTACAACAAGCAGGGCATCAGTACTGTGTTAGCAGAATTGTATCATGGGGTACATGGAAACAACCATTAAACAGGTAGAGGAAGGAGATAAGTGTGTAGAGGAAATAGAATCATAGATTGGTTTGGGTTGGAAGGGACCTTAAAACTCGTCCAGTTCCAACCCCTGCCACGGGCAGGGACACCTTCCACTAGAGCAGCTTGCTCCAAGCCCTGTCCGACCTGGCCTTGAACACTGCCAGGGATGGGGCAATAATATGTAAAGTGTATTATTTGAAGAGATGGTATCAAAAGAGTGTACTGATAGCATGGAACAGAGGGGTTTTCCCATAGGTTTTTGTGGCATTTCTTGGATGCACAGGGATTCATTGCCCTGAGGTGGGCATAATCATGGCTCATCCTCCAGAAGCAGCAGTGTGCAAGCCTATAAGGTGCTAAGGAACCACCAGAGAGTGAAGAGAAAATGCTCCTAACGAGAGATACACATCTAATAATGTAATAGGTGAGATGACCTTGAGCACATTCAAGCAGGAGACGGCTGTAGGAGAGGCAAAAGTGGCCAGAGAGGTTAGTTATGTGGCTGAGTATTACAACTCATCATCATTAGCCAGTGTTTCTGTTCTGATTGTAACTATTGTAGCAGACAGAATGATCTTTATTTGCCATAGTTTGTTCTAAATTGCAGTTTGCACTACACTGAGAATGGGGGTGTGCAGGGAAAGTGTATTTTCAAACCTTGTGCAGCTCGTCTGCCATCTGTCATAAACACTTTGGATTTGTTTGCAAGCATCTACGTGCATCTACAGAGACTCAGTAATGAAGCTCCAAATGTGAAGTGCTAACCCTTTTGTTTGTTTGCTTGGTTTAGGTTTGTGAAGTTTTCTATGCCCAGCATCCCTGACTTCGAAACGTTATTCTCGCAGGTGCAGCTTTTTATCAGCACTTGTAACGGAGAACACATCAGATATGCAACAGACACTTGTAAGTTAAGCTTATTTTCAGACTTTATATGGGGTTTTGATAGTTTTATTCTGATTTTTCACTGTGTTGTGTTTTTCTTTGTGTTTTTTTTTTACTGTATTTAGTTGCTGGCCTGTGCCACCAGTTAACAAATGCCCTTGTGGAGAGAAAACAGGTGAGCAACTGTTATCTAGTACATATAAGCTACCTACATATCCAAGCTCTTAAAAGGGACATGCCTTGGGCAACATGGTCTAGTGTGAGGTCTCCCTGCCCTTGACAGGGGGTTGGAACAAGATGATCTTGAGGTCATTTCCATCCCTAACTGTTTTATGATTACAGTCTCTTACTTGCTTCATAAAGATTTGCCACGAACTTCACGTTATGTATTTTTGTGCAGCTCCTTATTTGTTAAGTTTACTCAGAAGAAATGAACCTGAACCAAGATTTTCCAGCTTTCTTTAAGGAAAACGTAGGGAAGATGAATTATTAGGGGGACAGTCACCTAAAAGCGTGCTCTCTCACACAAAGTACAGAATCTGTGGTACCCAGAATGTTCTTCAGGCAACATGTGCATGAGTAGGAGAGAGCTGCAACAATTATTAGCACTGGTGAGTCAGTGATACTGGTTTCAGTGTTATTCTCACCAGTGTTATATAATGTTCTTAATGAAATGCCTCAAAATATAAAGGAAACTTGATTAAGAAGTAGTTGACCAATGTTTCTGTTGCTAAGATACTGATTTTTTTCAGGCTACTTCAGTGAAATCTAGCCTGAAGTAGAAGCAGAGATCAAGTCTGGTCTATGTGGAGCAAATCAAGAGCCTTGCCTTTATGACTTGCTGGGAGTCATGTCATGGAGTCAAGAAAGGCTTTTGTATCAATACACACTCCTATATTCCTGATGAGGTTGGCTTTATGGAGCAGAATTGATGACTTCATTTAGCATAGCAGGAGAAGTTGTATAGCCCAGGTTAATTTTATTGTCTGAGAGACTGCAGTATCCTACACAAAGGGAACCTCAAGTTAACTATTACTGAATGGAACCTGTCAATTAGTGTTATTTTTCATTTGTAAGTGTCAACATAAGATCCAATGTGCTGCCATCTATGAGAAATTGTCTGAAAGAGATGTAATTTCTGACAGCCCCTGCGAGGAATTAGCATTCTCAGACAAGCCATAGACAAGATGCAGATGAACACAAACCAGCTGACCTCAATACACGCAGATCTCTGCCAGGTAAGGGGAGCTGTAAGGGCTTTTGGTGAGAGTAAAGCATATTTTATAGGTAGAACCCTTTGAGGAGATGCATGTTCATGTACTGTAGTATTAAATTGCCTTTTAACTGGTCTCCAGTCATAAATAATGATACACTGAAATAAAATGCCCTTCTATGCATTTTAAATGTGCAGTGCATGTCCCCAGATCTTTGGTTTTGTTGATGACTCTCAGAAGTCCTTTGCCATCTCTTCTCTCTGGGCTGAAAGTCACACACAGGCAGCGTAAGTGTAATACCCAGATACTGTTTGCTCAGATTTGACAAAAAGCCAGTTTGTTTCAGTGTCTTTGGCCTGAATTTGCTCTTCTGTCTCATTTCTTGGCTCCTGGGACTTAGGGTTGGACAGGAATGTTTAGTGCAATATTAAGTGCAGGCAGTCTGTAAGGCCTGGAATTTCAGACAGCTTTGTCTCAGTCTAATTTCTTTAGCATTCAGATAATTTATAACAGCTCACAATCTGTGTTAAAGAATAATCTGTGTTACAGCCCTACCACATACCCTGTTTTATCCCTCTTGGAGGAGTGAGATTTATTGGCTAGCACCAGATGAATTCAGTTTCAGCTTCTTCCTCCTGGAAATTTGAATGGAAATGGCTAATTTATGGCAACCTGATTTATTTTCTTGTAGCTCTGTTTGTTAGCAAAATGCTTTAAACCTGCCCTCCCGTATCTAGATGTGGACATGATGGATATTTGTAAAGAGAATGGGGCATATGATGCGAAGCACTTTTTATGTTACTACTACTATGGTGGGATGATATACACTGGGCTAAAGAACTTTGAAAGAGCACTCTACTTTTATGAACAGGTAACTTGAAATCAAATGGTAAGTCTCAAGTGTGATCACTTGAAAGGCAGTAGTAGCGTATTGTAGCACTACTACAGTAGCATGTAGAGTAGTGCTGAGCTAACATATCATCTTTGAATTGCCACCAAGGAGAGCAGGAAAAGCTGTGTACCTAACATAAGGCACAAGCAGCCACCAATGATTTTCATTCTTAACCTTAAAGATATGATTCCACTAACAGATCTGTACTGCTGCTCATCATTCACATGGGGTTTGGTTGTGTGTGTGTGTGTGTGTGTGTGTGTGTGTGTTCATCATAGCAATGCATACAACCTGAGTTGGGTTCATGTTCGCTACTAGCTCCTTTATGACAGGTACAGCCTGAATGGTGGTACTCAGCATGTAGTGAAGTACCAAGCAAGCTGTCCTTAGAGGTGTTTTCCTTTAAGAAGGTCTCTTCCAGCCAAGTAACTATTGCACCATAAAACTATGCATCTCAAAGGTTGATGTTAAATTTATCTCACTATAAATATTTTTCAGATGCTTGTTTATTGCTGCTGGCATAGCAACGGCTCCCAGGCTGACATGCACAATTGTGTGTTCTTAAAGCAAAACTAATGCAGTGGGTTTGCCTAAGACCTTTGCTAATTTTATGAGGGGAGTGACACGTCAAGGTTATCACAATATTGCTTTCATTTTCTCTGTGAAAGAAGTAACAAATCTCCAAATTGGGAAAACTTAGTGTATGTATGAGAGAAAAATGCTGTCAAATATGTGGCAGTTTCTGTATGCAAGTGTCAGCCCTTGAGTAGCTTAGCAGCATCATAGTAAACTGAAATCCTTTTTCCTGATTCTGCAGGCCTCTTTCAGCATAATTAAATGTGAGATCTGATGGTGTAATAGCTTTATACAACCTCTTTAGGGATCTGTGTGAATCCAGGTTCTAAAGTGTATAATCACTGCTGGTAACAAGTAGCTGCAGGTGATTTCTAGTACAACTTTCGATATAGACCAAGGAAAGACGTTTAGTTTTATCTTAACAGGGTTATTTGAAGGTAGGCACCACCGTAACATGATGCGTTTTGAGCAGCTTGCATAGAATTTCATATATTTTGGATGATTAGTTTTGACAGAAGCTAGTTTAAAGCTTTAATGCTCAAAGGTGAATTTCATGTCACTGTATCCCTTCCACATGCAGCTTGAAACTGAGATTTTTTTCTTAATGCAATAGCTACCAGGACCTATCAGTAAATATATTAAATTCCTATTCCATTTCTTTCTTTCTTGCTTAGGCAATAACTACTCCAGCCATGGCAGTCAGTCATATTATGTTGGAATCGTATAAAAAGTATATTCTAGTTTCTTTGATACTACTTGGCAAAGTTCAGCAGCTACCAAAATACACTTCCCAGATAGTTGGTAGATTCATTAAGGTAAGTCTTTGTGAATACAGTTAAATAACAGAGCAATAAAGCTGAGTTTACGTTTCCTACCCTCATTTGATGGTACTTTTTAACATTGCAGATCATGGAATAATGTGCCAGAGGACAATCTCCTGCTGCCTTTCTAGAGTACAATAGCTAAAGAGTGTCTTGTACAAACAAACTTTGTTGTTCATATTGGGATACAGGTTTTTAAACATAAATTTGGAGGAATTTTAGGGTTGAATGGTACTTACCAGTATTCTCTTCACTGATACTGCACATCCCTTGATACTGTTTTATGTTAGAACTCAAACAAGACTCGACTTTCATTTGGCTTTCAGTGTCCAGTGTCCTTGTAAGAACATTCAGCCCGTAACTTCATCTAGTTGAAGTATGAAATGCTAAATGGATTATTCCAAAACCCCAGCTTTATAAAGAATAAAAGCTGCTGAAAAAGCTGCAAGTTTGCAGTCTGTAAGCATTGAGATTAGGAGGTGTAGGGTGGAAGAGAAAAACATTAGTGAGAGAGTTCTGATCCTCAATAAATAACACACTACTAGTTCTTATTTAACACTGAGTTTATTGATTTGTGACCAAAATTGTAGAGCTCCCAAAATCTTGCAACTCCAGGTATTAATAAGCAAACTCAGACAGTTGCTGCTTTAAAGTGAACGAGTCTTCACCCTCTGATTCTCTTGGCCCTGCTGTGATGCATTGTGGTCAAGGATGACAGTGTCTTATAATCGATGGGCAGTGACTATGCACCTTGAGTTCAGCTCACTTCATACACTGTTCAGCTAATGGCCTTTTCCTTGCACTTCCAGAACTAGAACTGTCGTACAGAGGTCCTTGAATGAAGTTTATTAAATCTTATATTGTAGTAGTACAGATTTAGCATATGAGGATCTGACACTGCTCTAATGCCGTGTACTGGCATCATCTATTTGGTATGAGAGATGGGTGAACTACTTAAAATCTGCTTTTATGCCTGCGTGGCTTCTAATGTCGAAGTAGTGAATAGAGGCTGGTTGAACAGGATTCTCATTTTTCTAATTGCAGCCCCTTAGCAATGCTTACCATGAACTAGCACAAGTTTATTCAACCAATAAACCCTCGGAGCTTCGAAACCTGGTGAACAAACACAGTGAAACATTCACAAGGGATAACAATATGGGGCTGGTTAAGCAGTGCTTGTCATCTCTCTACAAAAAGAATATTCAGAGGCTAACCAAGGTAAGACAAAGGGGGTGGTTTTGCTGAGGAATTGTGATTAGTTTTTCTCGCAGAGTATCTCTGGAATGTATTCAATTCAGAGCAAAATGATATTGCAGTAATGTCATGGAGAAATGAGTAAAGCTGAGATTTGTGTCTCTGAAACAAATGAGGCTAAAATGCTCTATATAGAAAACCACCTCAGGTGGCTACTTATGCTTTATTTAAAAGGTGGATAAATGTGTCTGTCTATCAAGGGGGTTTGCCCATGAGATTTTCATACATATTCAGAGAAGTTGTGAGCGCAGCGACCCAGTGACCTTCATCTCTGTTCAGAAGAGAGAACTGAACTTTACAGGCTGCTTGATTAGAGAAGAGGGAGTGAATAGGACAGATTTTGGAAGTATCTGAAGTAAGGGGAAAACCAGAAGCGGTGGAGCGACGTGCTCCTTCATCTGAGAGGTCAGATTAATCCTTAAAGATGATCAGGGGAAGGCTCTTTTATGGCACGCGCAAATGATGTTTGCTGCAATATAACTAACCTCAGAAGGAATACAATACATGCATCTCTTGAAGGAGATTCAAGGGATGGACAGCCACCTTATTCACGTAAAAAGGTGAGGGAAGAGGTTGGGCATGGTCAGGACTGTGCTTGGGGTAAAAAGGAATAGCAGAACTGGAGTAACGACTGTTAGTTTGGTCTGTGTATGTGAACAGTGTAAGAGATTCATGTCTTCAGAGGAAGAGCTGACTTCTCTCTCATGGGGCTTTTATAAGTAATAACTGTGTCCCACTAGTTTTTTTCCCATTGGGCTTCACAAATTGGATTAGAAAAGTTCTTCACATCTAGCTTTAATGGTTTGATACTTTCTACATTTCAGACATTTTTAACGTTGTCATTACAAGACATGGCAAGTCGAGTGCAGTTGTCGGGGCCCCAAGAAGCAGAAAAATACGTCCTCCACATGGTGAGACTCGAGACTTGGCTGAACTATCCTCACTTAAAACTTGTTCCAGTGTATTTAAGTGTCTGGGTTGGTGGTGGGTGTTCTGAGTGCCTGAAGAATGGTTCCCTTTCAGGGTGAAGGAAATACTGTCAGTGTGCTGTGGTGTTTAGACTGTTCTCAAAAAGTCATAGCAGGATTCTCCACCACGCAGCATTTGTCTTTGGGAAGCTGTTAGGAAATAAGAAGCAAACAAGATGATTCTACAAGGAGCCTGTGTGCTGTAGTTACTCAAAACTCTCTTCCTGGTGATGCCTTATGTTAACCCTTTTCTCATTTCAGATAGAAGATGGTGAAATCTTTGCAAGTATTAACCAGAAAGATGGTATGGTCTGTTTCCATGATAATCCTGAAAAATATAACAATCCAGCTATGCTCCATAACATTGACCAGGAGGTAAGTCTTTAAGATCTTAACTGCTTTTGGAATTGCTACCAGAGTACTTTAGCCTGTAATCAGAGAGCTGCTGGGAGAAGCCAGTGTAGGTGACTTACATGAAGAGATTGAGGGCTATGAATCATTATTAGCCTATTTCACAGTAGTGGTATTTAAAGGGGGTTTAGATTGATAGTCAGTTACTGTCAACACGTTCCCTATTGTATCCTCTGTACAGCTTGAGATGTTTCAGCAGATCAACTGCTTGATGTTGATGTGGAGTTACTTGAACTGAATGGATTGGAAAGATTGGGTTTAGAGTTTTAGCCTTCAAGGATCACTTGCACTGGCTGTCAGTAACCTGCCTGTAAGCTGAGGTGGTTGACCCTCATGGGGCTGTCTGTCAGTGGCCTTGGAAAGGATTGTTAGGAAGACGTGAATCAAAATAAGGGAATAAGAAATAATGTGACAGTTAGGAGAGATGAGGGATAAGAACATTTTGACATGGAACTTTGGTGATGGCAAAGGTTATTGGTTCTACACAACACAGCCGTGAAGTATCTTGAGCAAGCTGGACCAAGTAATTAACTTGATACGTATTTTTAAGATGCTGAAATGTATAGAGCTTGATGAACGACTGAAAGCCATGGATCAAGAGATCACTGTGAACCCTCAGTTTGTGCAGAAGGTAAGTGATTTAATGTCTTGCAAAGAGATTCAGTGTAGTATGTGTTGCACTGAATGTCAGTGTATATAATGTTAATAATAACATTAATACACGCATAGACATCATGCTTTAAACGTGTGTTTAAGGAAGTGCATGTTATCTGATACGCACTTTATTTTCCTACCTGCTAACTTCAAAGACCTGTCTGTCTCAAAGGTAAACCTCAGACCTGTTTGTGAAACGAGCTAACTCTCTCCCTTGCAGAGTATGGGCTCTCAAGAGGATGACTCAGGGACCAAACCATCCAGTTATTCTTGAAATTAATGTTGCTCACCACTCCGCTTTCAAGTAAAAGCTTATGAAAGAATCACGCCTGGAACAGGGCATTGAGGAGTTCCACGAAGAGAGCAGAGAGAACTGAGCTTTGCTTTTCACCTGGACATTAAGAACATAAAAGAACACCCTCTCAGTACTGTATAATATCAGAAATATTCTCTGCAAAGAAAAAGGAAATCTCAAAAAGAAATGTAAAAGTCTGTTGTGGATTTATTTATCTTCAGATTAACATCATTAATGCATTAAATAATCTACCTTTTGTTTTAAAGGGTTTGAATGTTGCTGTGTTTCTGTAGCAGTCCTTTATTTCCCTTCTGCAAAAGAAAAGTGTTATTCAGGGAAGAATACAAACTAGTGTTGGTTCACATCCAAGATAATTCCTCGTTCTTTACTCTGTATTTAAAGTTGGCTCAAAGTGCAGATGTGTATGTATTGGTGGGGGGAGAGGGCTGGAGTTTCACTCTCTACATGATGATTTGCCTATGCCCGGTGTAGCTGGCTGCTGTCTATTAAAGGATGAACGAAGACCTGTGTTCTTCCCAAAAGGATGAGCGTATTAATGAGTCCTTGTGAGGTGGATGTGCTGAAAACCCCACTATTGATGGTGTTAAGTTTCTGGTACAGAATGTCTCTTAATATTTCCTCTTGGGTCTGACTTTCTAGACCTAAACCAGAGGATATTTGGAAGAGCTCAGTGTTCTGGAGGATTCTAGATAGGATGTTGTTTATGCTGAAAGACATTTAAATCTTTGTTTCTATCCAATTGGCGTGAAGGTATTCAACAAACTGGTAATCAGTTCAAGTGAAGGTGATGCTGTAGATCTTTGTTTCCAAAGAAAAGAATTCTCCATGGAACGTAAACAGAATTATCCTTTAGAGCTCTTAAAAGTCAGGATTTTATTTGGAAATAACATGCTGGAATCCTACCTGGGTTTTAATTCACTGTTTTAAACATGAAAACTCGGTGGTTGGATGCTTCACCACTTAAATCAGCGGGCTCTTTTTCTGTAGTTCTCGTGTATCTGACGATTCTCGCTGTTCAAACACCTTTGACACACTTCATGTAGGTGCAAATCTACTATCAGGCATAAATAAATCTGTCATCGAGTCAGAACATGAGAATGTCAGCAACCAGTGCTTCCTACTGAAACGCCTAAGAGCTGCTTGCTGCTGTTAACCTGCCAGCTTTGTTTCAGGTGCTGAAGCAGGAGCTGAGCTTTTGTGGCTGTTGCCATGTGAAGCTTGTAGATATTGAGGTCACCCATGGTTGAAAATAGCCTATTTGTGCTTCCAGTGTTGATACAGACCCACTGGGATTTGTACTTGGAATTGGTGTCAATTCCAGCATAGCCTCTGTGACAGCGGGTGCTTTCTAGTAGAAGGGATATGTCCCCAGGTGCTTGTCTGGGTGGTGAAGGATGTCTTTAAAAGTCTAAAATTGCAGTTTAGTATCAAACACAGCATAATCCCTAGTGTTAGCAGCTCACCACTGAGTACTGCCGCTTCCTATCATAGACACATCCATATTTAAAGGCAACTTTTCCACCTTAGGTTTTTGCATCACTTGCCTTACTGGTCTTGCAGCTATAGATATTTATCATTTTTGAAGGTGTGTTTTGCCTGGTTAATCCTGCAGTGACTTCAGTGCTGAACATACTTATGCAGTTCTCCTCTGGTACCATGGAAGTGTTAAATTAGTAATCACTAATGCTGCGGGCTGAAGCACAGAGCTGCATTGTCAAAGTGTTCACAACTGGGTGGCAGCCATCAAAAGGGCTGCAAATACCTAACCCCAAACTACTACCTATAAAAGGATGTGGATGGCTTATCTTTCACTGCCAAGGGCTCAGACTGTCACAGCCAGCAATGCCCATGTTGCAGTGGCTGGGCTTTTACACCACCAGTTGTTACTTGTGAGTGTGGACTTAAAATCTCAGAGCTGCAGGATGGCTTTGGAGCTATGGAATTAGAAGCAAGCTAATAGATGCAGTTGGCAAATAGCAGCTTATTTTCCCCTTCTTTTTATTCTAGCCTAAAGTAACTAAAATAAATCCATGCTCACATCAAAAGGACGGTAGAAATAGCAATGTAATGGGTTAAATGATATATTACACTATATTTCTTAACCTGTTTTTTTAAGGGTCCTTTTCGAGTTGTGCTGTTGAAGATTCAAAGTCAGGTCCCACCTGTAGAATCCATAGATAAAGCGTTCACCAAAAGTGCTTCAGGCAAGGGCTTTTAAGTAAGAGTCTGATAAACAGAGTCTGGCATCTGCATGGCTGGAGATACTATTGAAATTAAGTCAGATTTCTAATGAAGGAGCTCATTCAAGTCTTGGAACTGCCTGCATGGGCTGTGGTCAGCTGAGGCGCTTTGAGAACGCTTGAGCTTTCTGGTTTTAATTTGTATTTATTGCAGGGAAGGGCTTTTGATCAAGTGCAAGAACACTGCGTGCTGGGCTCCTCTGAGCTGAGGCTCTCTGAGGTCCCGTCTCTGGCGCTGCCCATCGTGCATGGCCACAAGATGTGCTCATGAGATAACTGAGTGCATGCTTGGATCTCTGAGTCCTCTTTTCATGTAATCAGCAAAGAGAAAATGCAGGTGTGAAGGTAGCACTGGACGTGCAGCTACACTTCTTAGCCACAGGAGGGGTGTCTGATTCAGTTCCTATTAGGAGGTATTAAGATGTATTAAAGAAGAGGTATTAGAAGCTCTTTGTGTGCAGCCACCCCTCCTGGTTTTGTGCTGCAGAGGAGCCTTGGTTGGTGACCTCTGTTAACACACCCATGCTTCTGCCTAACTCCAGCTGCCTTCTCCAACCAGGCTGGATGGAGCCTTGGGTGCCATGGTTTAGTGTGAGGTGTCCCTGCCCATGGCAGGGGGGTTGGAACTGGATGATCTCGAGGTCCTTTCCAACCCAAACCAGTCTGGGGTTCTATGATTCTATTCTATAACTCTTCTCCCGAACAACAACCATGTGTTGTCACAGGCACTCTGTATAAGCTAGGAGTTGTTTTCCACCCCGGCTGAAGAGGTTAGTCCTGAGCACCTGTTTAAATGTACCATTGGCAAATAAAGCTAACAAACGAGTCATCCTTAGTTTGTCTTAAATGAGACAGAGGGTCTTTTATTGGGCTTTGCCTTAGGGGTCTGGGGGGGTCTTTTGTCCTTGTTGCTTCTCGGGATGTGTGATTTTGGCTGGCTGGCTGCTAGCGTGGCAGCATCCTCTCTCAGGGCTGGTTCAAACCCCTTGTCCAAGCTCTATGGAATTACCTTGAGTAGCAACGAGTTCTTGTGCAGGCAGTGCGTTTTCCTTGGGAAGTGTTGCTACAAGTGTCCAGCATGGCCTCCAGGATCAGATGTTGGATCAAACACTTTGGTATCTTTGTGTGCCAATAATCCTCCGAGTACCGTTTTCTCCAGAGGCAGAATTTAGCCCATACATGATGGATCCAGAGGCAATTGTTGCACTGGTATTGGTGATAGCTGCTCTTTCTTGGGATTTAAGTACATTTTACTCAGTGGAATGCTCTATCCTGGTACCTTGTGGAAGGCTTAACTGCTTCTGTTCAGAATTGGGTGTTTAAAAGCCATCAATGTAAAGCGAATGGTGGGGGGCTCCAGTACTTTGTTATTCTGAAGCCTGAAAGGATTAATAGTTCCCATGGAATTTGGTTTATCTTTCCATCAGCTTTCTAGGGATAGCGATACAACTTGATTCGGTGAAGAGGAACTGGGGTAGTTTAATGGAGAACTGGCATCGAAGAGTCTCCAACAGGCACGTTTCCCTGTGTCTGCTCCCTTCTTCCATGTTCTACCCTGCTTTAACGCTAGAATGTTCATAGTTTAATGAATTAATGCTCATCCCATGGTTCGGTTTATGGGAGCCTCCGGCCTCAGCCTCCCCGGACGCCCTCCATCCCCTCAGCGCGGCCCTTACCCCGCACGGCGTCTGCGCGACCCCGCCCGTGAGGCGCCATGCGGCCCGCACCATGTGGTGCGGGGATGGGGGGAGCGGACTCCGCTCCGGGTGCAGTCCCTGCAGGGTCGCAGGAGGCGGCTCGTCCCCTCGGAGCTCCTGAGGAGCGGGCACTGCTTTCAGCTCTCTACGGTGAGACAGCGGGACACGGGATAACGAGGGAAGGAAGGAGAAGTGTTCCGGACCTTCTCATCCTCCCCCTCTCTTAGTAATGGTTTTGCCCAGCCCCTGTGGAGAGGGCGGCCGTGGGCCGAGTCACTGCCGCACCGGGGGGGGAGCGGGGGATCGTGTGGAGGGCGGCGGGGAGGCCCGGCTCGGTACCGCGGTACGAACCAACTCCCCTTCTCTCTCTCCCGCTTTCCGCTCCCTCTCCTCGCCGCTCCTCGGCGGCGGCGGCGGGTGTGCAGTCGGGAAGCTGCGGGCTTCTCTTCCCCCCTAGCTGCCGGTAGGGATGGTACGGGCCGGTGGGTCAGTCAGTGTCAGGCGCCCGCTGGCACGGGACGGGACGGGACAGGACGGGGTGGGGGAGCCGGAGCCGCGGTAAGAGCGGTCTGGGCCGGGTCGCCGGTGCCCGGGACCGGGGAGGCCGGGGAGCGGAAGGGGAGGCAGGCCTGGGTCCGGCTGGGCCTGAGGCGTTCGGGTCCGGGGGGGCTGAGCAGAGCCGGTTACCCCCTGAGGGCCTCCGGGCACGGGGAAGCTGCGCTGGTGGTGTCCGGGCACGCAGACCCCAGCCTGTCCCCGTACGAGCAGAGGTAACCGGTCACGGGGGCGTCCGGTCCAGTCCCCCTCCCCACTGGGGCTTGCGGTGTCCCGGGTTATTGTCGTTGACCCGGGTTAAATCAGCGCTGTTCCCACCCTGTCCGGGTGCGAAGGGCTGGGCCTTGCTCAGGTCACCCCGTGGTGGAGCTGTGCTGGCTCCTTAGGCTGAGCTTAAGGGCAGCCACCCATGTAGGGGTACAGAACAGGACCTGTGGTGACCAGGCCAAGGAGATGCTTTAATACGTGTCGTTCTGATGTTGTGTGTGTTCTCCCTTACCCGCAGGAGGCCTGACGCATGTGCTGAGCTCTCATTATGAATGCTATTGTTGCCCTCTGCCACTTCTGTGAGCTCCATGGCCCTCGCACCCTCTTTTGTACTGAGGTTCTGCACTCACCGCTCCCCCAAGGCGCGGGCAGCGGGGACATCTCCGGGCAGAATGAGCAGGCAGAAGAGGAAGAAGGTGGCATTCAGATGAGCAGCCGCATCCGCTCGCACAGCCCAGCGGAAGGTGCCAGCGCTGACTCCAGCA